TACTCATTGGACACAGCTGATCAAGTGGTAAAAGACCACTGCGATTGGCCTTTTACCTCAGCACGTGATCACCTGTGTCTGTAGGACACAGATCGTCGGGTGCGCGCGCCATGGGGGCACGCAGGAGGGAGCGTTCTAGGAGGACGTCATATGACGCCATCCCAGAACTGGGTAACCACACTGTAGCCATCATTCAGCTATAGAGCGGTTACCAAGCGGTTAAAGAATGTTTTCACTACTAATATAACTCATGCGGTATTTTAGTAGCTGTGTGGTATCTTAACGTATACTCGGATGTAGTAAGATACCGCTTAATGAATTGTCCCGGTTCGAAGTTCGTGGTCAAACTTTCCTTAGGTTTGAATGTCTGACTGCCCATCACTACTATGGAGCTGCCGCATCACTTTCACTTTCAATCCGGGAGGCGGCTGAACAAAAAACACACAAGCTGATGGCTGTTACTGCAGCCATCAGCTTGTTATTAAAGGCTCACTCTATAGGAGCTGAACTGGTTAAAGTGGTTATAAAATCAAATATTGTCTGCATTAAGTTAAAAAATGTCCCACTACTTGTTTCCCCACCCCCATCCCTAAACACCAGAACCCTCTCCCAAACGTATGCTATTCAAATCCAGTGAGGAGGGAGCAGGGGCGGGGCGGGGGCAGAACCACGCTGTGTGTGTCCATAGCTGCATGCAGCTCAGCTAGGGATTGAAGTGTCTTCCTATGGGAGCATTTTGAGAAAAGGAGGAGCTAGAAGTGCTGGCTGGGACTCCAGAAGAGAAGGTTCAGAGCAACTTGATGCAAAACCATTGGCAGATGAGTATAACATGTTTATTGTTTTTTTTAAAGCATTTACAATCACTTTGCTTTAGCCAAACAAGGAGCTTAACAAGGAGCATTGAGTAGAACAACAGACATGAGAGCATAGATCTAGCTGCCTGAAAAGGCAGATGTCCTTTCATTGCTCTAGGTAAGCTAAAATAAATGCTAAATAAAAGCTCTAAGTGAGAATACTGATCACTGTGTAATTTTCTTTTTTAAAATATACATGAAAAAGAAGATTATTGGTTCAAGGCCATATTTTATTATTTATAACTGACAACCTCTTCTTTTGTTTACTGAAGCTTCTTATAAGCATTAGTCACAGCACAAGTGTGTCTAGAGTACTCTTTATTGCACTGTATAAGAGGAGGAAATGTTAAGCAAAACATGCTAATAATAAACAATTTAGAAAAGCACAGGGAATAACAGCAACATTTAGAAAAAGTGATACATAAAGCCCAACCCCATCACAGGGAAAAAGTTGTAACCAGGGTTGTGTCAAGGTCCTACCTTTTCCCTGAGGTTATGTTACTCCATGTGCTGGCGTCCATCTTGGATTCTGCTGTGCATGATGGGAATCCTTTTATGCCTTCAGGTCTCTGTGGTCCATCCCCCAGAGGGGTGTGGCTGATGACATATAAGCCTGTGGCCCGCACATGCTCTTTGCACTTGTGTCTTGGTGTTGCTATTACTCTGTTCTGACTCTCGTGACTCTCCTGGTATCTGATTCGGCTTGTGACTTGACTATTCTTTGTATTCTCCCTTGATCTGATCCTCTGTTGCTGAACCCGGCTCGTGACCTGTGATTCTCATCTGCTGTCCTGTACTGTTTTGTCCTGTTGTTGTTGACCCGGCTTGTCTGACTACTCTTTTGTCTCTTCCACCAGCTACACGCCATTGGCGGCGGCCATTACCGCAACTGAGGTGTCTCGGGGGCCGCGACCTGGTTCCTGGCTGCGTCAAGTCCATCCCCACCATCAGGGGCCCTGGTGAAGGGCAGCCTGGGACTTAGACTCCGCGCCCTGAGGGACTTCGGTCTGTGGGTAGTGGTTGTCGTCAGCCAGTGCGTTACATTGTTAGGCCTGCCTGTCCGTTCCTCGGCCCCTGTCCTGACATTACACAAGTGCCATGAACCCTGACGGTGCAGGCACGCCTTCGCTCCTAATGCTAGTCGCCAGACTCGATCAACAGGATCACCTGTTGGATCAATTCGCTCAGGCGTTGCAAACTCTGCTTGCACGCACTGCACACCTTGATCCTGGTGCTATTAGGCCAGTAGTCACTCCGGTGGTCTCTCCCGCAGCTTCTCCGCTTATTGCGTCCACCACCTCGACGGCTGCATCAGCGGCGCCCAGAGGTATGACTGGTTCAGCCCCTCTTCCACAGCGCTTTGGGGGTGAGCCTAGTCAGTGTCGTGGGTTCCTCAACCAGGTGGGTATTTATTTTGAATTAATACCCCACGCCTTTCCGTCTGAGAGGTCAAAAGTGGGGTTCCTAATTTCCCTACTCTCAGACAAGGCCTTGGCCTGGGCAAATCCCTTATGGGAGAGGAACGACCCGGTGATTCAAGATTTTTCACCAGATTAGGCCTGCCTGTCCGTTCCTCGGCCCCTGCCCTGACAGGTTGCCAGTGACCTGCATTAGTAAGCTGCACTAAAAACTAAGGTTCCTGTTCTTCCTCTCCTATCTAAGCACTGCAAATGTGATCTCTATAACTGATCCAATTGTATCAAGATAGCTGTAACATACAGTCTAAGTAGAATTAGCAGGCAGTGACTTCATCAAAATGACATCTAGCAGATTGTAGAAAGCTTCAGTAGAAAACGTGCAGATCTTCACAGATAAACATCAGATAGGTAAAAGAAATCATAGTATGTCTAGCTCCAGCATTTACATGCAGTCAGAATATAAACTAATGCCACACTGAAAATAGGGTAACACTAGCTATCCAGAGCATCTGCAAGCTACAAAATGAGGAAAGTACTAATTTTCTTAAAGGCAAACAAAAAAAAAGCATGTGTAACATGATAGTTCTTTATAATCCCTCAGTAATCTTTTGCAAAAGTGTGAACTTTATTCTGAGGTTTTTATGTTCATAAAAAAGTTAAAATTATATTACCAGTACAAAAAAAATTGTAAAGTTATTTACACATTAACTGCATTTTTGTGTGTTTTTTTTTCAGTGCAACACTACAAAATGGAATGGGCACAACCTAACAAAAAAAAAAAAGTTTACATATGAATGGTAAACAAATTGCAAAAAGGATAAATGCCCAGGAAAAAAAGATAAGGGTACTATGGGGGTAAGTAGAAGAAAGAGTTTAATAGAGGTTAGCTAAATCTTACTAAGGGTAATAGGGGTTAAATAGTATGTAGTAATTTATTTTTTTAGACTTACAGTTTACCAGGATTGATAATATGTGCAGATAAAATGACTTTGGTCTACTCAAAGACACATTGTAACATTACTATTATAATGTACAGTATGTAGAAATGAAGCCTTCATACAGTAATTGCATGCTTCTGTCACTTAAGAGCCAATGCCAGTGCTTCCAAAACACATTGGGACCAAGCAGTAAGTTTGAAAGTATTATTCAACTCCCTCCACCATCCACGTTTTTTCCCACTAGCTTGCAGTGCTGTTGTGCTCTTCAAAGCCCATACTCATCTGCACAGCAAAGCCAGTGTTGTACCCCTGCAAACTACTGTTCAGGTGCCCACAGCAGGGAGGTCCACCATCTTGGATCTCTTCAGTTGGCTTTTCTTCCAGGTGCAAGCAGCTAACTCTGATGACATACTAGATCCACCCTCCAGACTGCCCCATTGACGTTCTGAGGTTGATTTACTAAAATTGCAGAGTGCAAAATCTGGTGCAGCTGTGCATAGTAGCCAATCAGCTTCCAACTTCAGCTTGTTCAATGTCAGCTTTGACCAAACAAAAATGGAAGCTGATTGGTTTCTATGCACAGCTACACCAGATTTTGCATACTCCAGTTTTAGTAAACCAGCCCCTTTGTGTGCTGATCCTGCAACCTCCTTGGAGATATGAACCTTACAAAAGATATAGAGCACCGCTCCAAGTACCAACTTAAAATCATCTGTTGACTCCCCGCTTACAGGTGCAGGCATCCAGTGAAAGCTTGCCCCAGCTCAACATGCAATGTCTATTATTGAAAGTCAGATGCTGCACACCAAAGGAAGCCAAGTGCAATAGTAGAAGAGTAGAGTAGCTTCTACCTGTCTCCAACCAGGCTACTTCCCTCTGACACAATTCACCCTCCCACAGGGCCTAAAATAGAACTAAAGGCAAAACTTTTTTTTCACTTTGGATAGAGTATGTGAAGGAACCCCTGTCATTTTTTTTCCTCATCTCTGCCCCATTGGGGAGATTTCCCTTCACTTTCTGTTCAATAGCGAAAGCAGGAAGTGATAAAAAATTCCTGAAAATTTAGGGGATTTCTTGGGGACCTCAAGGTCACCAGAACTAGTGTCTCCATTGGAAAATTTCCCCTCTATTGCTTTTCTAGGGACAACCCCAAATTTGGGGTTTTCTTTTACTTTCACTTTCAATTATAATGGTAAACAGGAGAAATAGAGTGGGTGAATCTCCTAATGGGGGCAGTAAACAACCTCACAGGGGGTCTAGTCCCTCTGTACTCTGTCCAAAACTAAAAAAAAAGTTTTGCCTTTAGCTTCACTTTAATTGTAGAGGTCAACCTGTATGATTAAGCCATGTGGGAGGGTGAAATGCATCAGAAGGGCATGGCCTGGGAGGAGACAGGTTGAAGCCACTTCTCTACTGTTGCACTTGGCTGCCTTTGGTGTGCGTCATCAGACTGGACACTCCTGGGAGATGTGATGTAAGTGTCTCATGAGGCTACAGGACAAGGTACACAAGGTGGTGGTGGGGAGGCTCCTTGCAAATTTGCTTGCAGGATGAGGGGAGATGGTGTGGGGGGGATGGTTAAAGTGAATCTAACTTGCTTTTGGGAGTTTAGTTCCACATTAACAGCTTAGTCCCACATTGCAGATTTTTCCTTCTGAAAATGCTCATTGACTTGATATTATGCTGATTGCCTAGCTTTATGAAAGCACAGAAACTAGGGACAACCAGGCAAATAGCTTTTATTACAAAATATATTATCAGTGTAAAACTCTAAATTTCTGGTAGTACAGGATTCTGTTGTAACTTCTTGGAACACAGACAGCAAAAGAAAAATTTTTGGTAGACTTGAGAAGTTTAGGAGCATCTGCCTAAGTGTTATATCTGTGTCCCCACTGGGAATATTTTCTATTACTACCCAGCCATTGGATACCCTGACATAGAAAGTGGAGGAAATTCTCCCCTGTTACGACATTGACTGTTATAAAAACTTGGCTCAAAACTTCTCTCCTTTGCAAAATTCAGAATATGTTTTTGGCTGGAATTGAACTTTGAGCATTATCACTATTCTTTCTATGTTTCTCAGAATACTCTTGTCACAGTTTTTGTATATGGAATTTGTTTTTTACGCCGCTATTGTTATTGCTTATTTATTTGAAAACACATTATGCCAACCAGAGAGGAAGTGGGATTAGGCAGGATTAAAATTGTCGTTACAAAATGTGCTATTTCCAAATTAGACGCATAAACCCAAGCACAAAATATACATTATCTGTGTAAATGTACAATATACACACACAGTCTTTATTTTCTTAATATTGTTAAATTAATTTGTTAATTTGATATGCATTAATTTTATGTTTGTTTTTAAAAGTATATGTAATTATTGTTAAAATACTTTATACTTTGATACACACTTAAGTGAACAAGATGGAGGTTTTCATATCAATAGATAAATAATGAAATACCTTTTTTTTTTATTTGTGTCAAGTAATTTACCATAAAGACAAATTAGACAGGGTTGGTCACTTAAAGATAGTTTCAATATTCAGGAGGAAAAAGTGGAAGCCCCTTTTTTGACATGGGATTTGTTTCCAGCACTTCTCTTCCACCTTTTAGAAAAGGGATGAAGGGATGGCAGAAAAAAAACCAAGTGATCCATTGAGGAAACCCAATTTCTTCGTATTTTTTCACTTTTTCACTTTTTTTGTCAGAATAAAGCTCTGTGTTTTTTTTAAGCATGTTTGAATCCATTTACTGTTGACTGACTCACTACCTTTAATGGGGGTCTATTCCAAGCAACAACTACTCTTTTGGTAAAATAATACTTTCTAAGATTACTTTTAAACTTCCTGCTAGTTTGAGGTCATGTCCCCGTGTTCTTGATTTAAGCTTCATATTGAAAATACTGCCCTCATGAACCTTATTCACACTTTTGAATAAGGTTAATCATATCTCCCTTTTCTCTTCTTTCCATTACCACTACTTGGTCTTCTGTACTCACTCTTTTTCAATGGTGGAAGGGAAGCGCTGGAAACAAGTTTTCAGTAAGTGTGTAAAGTCATCACTTGGGCCCAATTGCTCCATTTCCCACATGCAGACTATAAGAGTGCCAAACAAATATTCATGAACCCAGCATCTTTTAACCCCTTGCCAATCGCCTCCTATAGGAGTACGGCAGCAGAGCGGCTCTCCTGTGCTGGATCACATATCTAGTACGTGATCCAGCACTTCCGGGCAGGAGTTGTGCGCCACCGATGCACCGGCTCTGCTGTGATTAGTCACAGCACAAGCTAATCAGCGTGTGGCGGCCAACGATTGCCGGTACCCACTAATCACGAGGAGGAAGACAGGGCAGAGCTCTGTCAATCTAAACAATACAGAGCTCTGCCCTGTCCGTGGGGATGTGCCGGTTTATGTTTCCCTGCAAATCAGGGGATAAAAAACAGCACATCCTTTAGTGAAAGCACCTAAAAGTACACACATAAACATTCATTAGGCACACATTTAACCCTTTCATCGCCCTGGATGTTTAACCCCTTTGCCAGCCAGTGTCATTAGTACAGTGACAGTGTATAGTTTTAGCACTGATAACTGTATTTGTGTCACTGGCTCTCACAAAAGTGTTAGCTAGTGTTAGATTGCCTGCCATACTACCACAGTCCCTCTATAAGTCGCTGGTCACTGCCATTACTAGTATAAAAAATAAATAAAGATTCCCATATATGTACCATAGTTTGTAGATGCTATAACTTTTGCGCAAACCAATCAATATACACTTATTGGTGTTTTTCTCTACCAAAAATATGCAGCAGAATACATATTGGCCTACATTTATGAAGAAATTTGATTTTTACTTTTTTTTTCCATTGGATATGTTTTATAGCAGAAAGTAAAAAATATTGTTTATTTTTTTAAACTTTTGTTTTTTTGCCTTTATATAGCACAAAAAAATTATAAACCCAGTGGTGCTCAAATACCTGGACAAGAAAAACTCTATTTGTGTGAAAAAAAAAATGATATAAATGTGATGATATATTTGTGTACAGCATTGCATGACCACAAATTTGTCAGTTAAAGTAATGCAGTAATGACCTGGTCATGAAGGGGGGGTAAATCTTCTGGAGGTCAAGTGGTTATTGATAACATTATTTAATGACAGGAAGGTATGAAACAGCCAACAAGGTTCAGGGGCCTGGAAAACACCCTTCATCAGGACTATAGAAAAAGGGTATACATATTATAATAGTGGGTGGGTCAGAAATATTGCATAAAAAAATTAAGAACCATTAAAGTGGAGCTACAATGCCTCTGAGCACCACAAAGCAAAAGCATTATTTAATTCATTTTTAATATTCCAAGCAATGTCACCCATCCATGTCTCCATGTTTTATTTTCTTGACAAATCACTTTGAAAAACATCCCCTAGCATTTATATTTTGAGTACAGTAAGATAATTCACGTAGCATTTACTTCCTGGAATTCATCTGCCTTTAGCTCAGGCATGTATGAAGGAGGGTATGCTTAGCTGAGAAAACCTCTCCTCCTTTACTGGTGACTCCTGGGATGACATAATTTGCCTTGGCCTGGAAACTAGGAGGTAACTGAAGAAATATTAAAAAAAAGTTTTAAAAAATAAATATGATATACCTCTCTATCTATTTAATGATGCTAGCAGCATAAGGATTAAAAATAGTCAAATGTTGATTGAGAGAGTGAGGTTCCGCTTTAACATTCTCTTACAGTACCACTCCCTCCTGGCTATTATACTGCAAAATTCCGCTTGCTGGAGATTAAGCAGCTGTAAAGAAATGCCTTCATGGTGTGGCGAATGCAGGAACAACGCCATGGAAACGGTGAGTGATCCGAACTGATCCTGTCTCTGGTGAGTTGCCGTCAGCAACAAGATCGCTATTGTGACAGAATCCCTATGGTTACCATATCATAATACATTTTGGATGTTTGGTATAAGCACAAGCCATCAGCAAGCCTGCATATATGCTACCCCAGCAGGAGCCACTTAGTAATTTGGGTTCTCTTTCATGCACTTCAACTCCAAGAACAACCTCAGCCCCTCTAACACACCTGGTTGAATGAAAGCTGCTGTAAGCATCTTATAAGAACACGAGCATAAATACCTTTAACTTGGCTGTGAAATAGTACCAGGAAATAGACACAAGACCATTTAGTGGTAAATGAACTCAATATGTTGGTATGGGATAGAACAGGGGCGGACTGACCATTTGGAAACTCGGGCACTGCCCGACGGCCCGGGGTCAGTAGGGGGCCCCATGAGATTACCCTGGTACCTTTTTCATAGGCTTTTTTGAGTTTGGGCAAGGACACAGGGGCCCCATGATCCCCTATTGCCTGGGGGCCCATGAGTTGTCAGTCCGGATAGAATAAATGGTGGTTTGAGCATAAATAAACACACAGAAGGCTCAGACATAATCTGCTAGACATTGTAATCACTATGTCAAGGTAATTTATAATAGAGTACTGTACCACTAGACTGGGATTAATTTATGAATCAGCAAAGTCAGCAATAAACAGTGCATATAAGCATTAACTGCAATGTGAATAATAATACTATAACTAGTCTACAGTTCACTCTAGACTCTAGGAGATAGGCTAGGATATGGTGCAATGTCCCCTGAGGGGTAATCCGTAGCATAAGCAGTAGGTGAAGGTCTCTGTATAGCAGCTGTAAAGGGACAGTCTTTAGTCCTAACTCTTCAGCTGGCTAGCACTGGGGCCCACTTGTACTGCTGATGCACATGGAAATAGTTCTAGTCAAGCCTGCAGGCAGAAATAAGGCTACTGGATGGCTGTATGGTCCCTACAGTTCCTGCAGTGCTGCCTGACGCAGTCTATTGAATTCTTCCTGCTTAGCAGCTCCCGACTCTTGCTGATTTAGCTGTTAACCAGTTCACCACCACAGAGCAGACGAAATAGAGAACAGCTGCAGCCAGTGTATCTCTCACTTTTGATTCTTAGCCTGGCTACATGTGTAGCATGTAGAAGTCTGTAATATGGCTAGACTTAGGGCCAGAGTGTGTTGATCCATATTTTCGGTGCACAGAGAAACAGCAAAAAATGCACCTGATTGTTTTTCAAATGCTTCAAGAGGCAACACATGTGTTTTCAACTACTTGTGTTGTATGTGGTCCAAACAGCTGAAAAGTAGATCTGTATATAAAGCAGACCTCATGCTGTATTTAGTAAAATAAATATCTGGCATAAGGAGCTACGTTTTTACAGAAGGACGCAGTAATTTGGGTATACCTTCAGGAAGGTAATGTCTAAATGCAGCCTTGCTTAGGATATGTCAGTTCACTACAGCAGCACTTAGCAAGGACACCTGGTTAAAAAAATCAATTGTAAATTTATTTCTAACAAAATAGACAGCTTGACTTCTGTGTATAAAGTTCTAACAATTAGACTAGAATTAGGCACTAGTTCAAGGGAAAGAAATCCATAATTCAGCAAATGAAAACAAGGCTTAAAACCGATCTGACAGAGAAATACAAAAAATAATTGATTTGTAATACCGTTCCACTTAAACATGAGTTTGAAAGTGTCTGGGCTGATCTTAGAGGAGCAGGACACTGAAGCAGAACAAATTATCTGAATAATCAATTGACTTAAAAAAAAGTACTCAAGCAAAGCAGAGAACCTCTACATCTCACTCTGCTCAGCCAGTAGCTCTGTATTGCTGGGTATACAGGTAATATTAACTCTTCAAGTAAGCATGGGGCTAATAGTATCTCAAGTCCCTGCGGCTTCAACAATAAAACTACGGAGGAGGAGAGTTTTTTTCAGCTGTTATTCTTCGATTTTTTCATTGCAACCTTTACAATGAACAAATTCATCTCTGCATTACTAATGTTATGTCTATGAAGAGCCCATGTCTTAAACA